TGAAGGCCCAGAAAAGACGCTTGAATTGACGATTGTTACCAGCAACCGGCGATTGAATTTCTTCATCTTGGTAGCGAGGCGAGAAAATGGTTCCAGGGTTAGACACCTCCAACGCCAAAATCAGTTTGGGAAGGAATGCATATGATTCTTCCCAGTCACCAAACACGGCAGCCATTGCTTTCTGTTTCCCATGCCACGCTTTCTTGTAGTTAATGATATAACCATAACGACTAGAAATGTGGGCGATGATGGTTTTCACCTTCAGGTCGGGCTGCTCCTCAATTAGATGTTTGATAGCCGCGGCAACCACCCTTGATTTCAACTGTCGATGGCCTTGTGATGTTATTGATGACACACATGTGTGTGTGTTCACCGCACGGGATATGACCCAATGACCGACTCTCTTGCTCCTGATGGCCCGGACCCTAGCCGTGCATCCCTCATTGTGGTTTCTGCATCGAACCATCAGCCTCTTTGTGTCGGAATGGGTTGTCTGCCATTCAAAACTCCGAGTCATTGCTTCAGTGGAAATAGCGTGTCGAACCTCATTCTTCGTTGCAAATTGTTGGCCCTTCGTAAAGCCAGTTAGTGGACCCCATAATGGCACATCTGGCGGGTCCATGTCGGCATCAACATACCAATCTTCACTTTGAATGTGATTGTAGTATGGAATAGGTACACGGTCGTGAGGTACCTCATCACCATCTGCGTCTGAATCTGGACCGGAATCATCAGCACCTTCCAGCGGATCGGAGCTGTCTGCACTAACTTCGCCTTCCTCTTCTTCAACCTCATGGTCACTAACTGGACTTGGATTGACCTCTTCTTCCATCTGATTTTCAGCATGAAAGGCACCTTGACCTCCACTAGCTCCGTAATGGTAGTTGTGGTAACTAACACCGCTTTGATAGAAGTTGTACTCGGGTGGGTACTGGTAGACTGCTTGTTGGTTGTAATCCGCCTGTTGAGCTTCTTGTTCATATGAATGGAAGGATTGATGACTTCCTCCAGTACCATGATGATACTCCTGACTCCAACTCGAGGCATGGAAATCCTGGTGGGGAGTATCTTCGTATAATACACTCCCACCGTGGATACCAGATGTTTGGCCATCTCCAGAATGACCTACACTGCCTTCGACGGCCTCGGTGTAAACGAACATCTCCGCTTGCTTAATTGTATTGGTGGTCAAAAATTGGACCATGGCATCAACGTCCTCCTGAGTGTTAAGGAGGAATTCCTCATGCCACAGGGACCCGTCATGTCTGTTTGGATATCGATACACCATTCGATCAACTCTTCTACTGCCATCCATGCAGGTAATCTGAGTGCACATTCGGTGGAGCTCTTCAAGCATCGGTCTCGTACGGACCTTCATTTTATGAAAATTGCCACCGACGTAACTTACACCCTTTTCGGTCTCTTCCGTGTAACCATTCCACCGCAACCCAAGCGTGAACCTTTGGAATGCCATCTGCAATGAAAAGTAACACAAGTTACTAACATAACAACACAAAGAAAAATGAAAAGTAATTCAAATTACTAACATAAAATCACAAATGACAATGAAAAGTAACACAAGTTACTAACATAAAAATTATTTTGTTAATCGTATTGATTATTTTCAATAATTTAAAACAATACAAGTACACTCGTAAGACTCTTAGGAGAGGTATACATCTCCTTAGAAACACAGTCTTTTTGACAGAAAAAGGGGGGATCCGAGGATCGCTTAGAACCCGATTTTCCCAGGTCATGGGGGGATCATGATGATCGCTTAAGTCCCCATTTCCTTAGACATGCATTTCTTTATAAAGAGTCTCAATAAGTGTTGTATTGTATTGATTTAAACTATTGAAAATAATCAATACGATTAACAATTATGTAAATTATTGTACAACAAATATACATTATATAATAAACAAAGGACAATGAAAAGTAATTCAAATTACTAACATAAAATCACAAATGACAATGAAAAGTAATTAAGTTACTAACATAACATCACAAAGGACAATCAAAAGTAATTAAGTTACTAACATAAAATCACAAAGACAATGAAAAGTAATTATGAAACAAACTTACGAATTAACGTTAATCGCAAAAACTAAATAATTTAAAGGTGCAAAGCTGAAATTTGAGGAAGGAAGTGTGAAGAATTGTGTTCTCCGAAACAGCCTTTTATAGGCAAATTATGCACCAAAACCGCTTGGGGGGGGAGCGGTTTTGGGTCTGCCATGCAGCCCTACCCCTGCATGCCGACATGTCGGATGTCGGGTGACCAGGCACAAACCGCGCCCCAGAGGAGCGGTTTGTGTCCTGACAATGTAAACCGCCCCTTCCCCAGGCGGTTTGCTTGCCGACAATAAAACGCTCCCTCTACCAGCGTTTTCTGGTAGGGTTTACCCTATAACCGCGCCTCGCAGAGGCGGTTTACTCCAGAAAATAAAACCGCTCCTCCAAGGAGCGGTTAGATAGGAAAACGCCTCTTAGAGGCGCGGTTTCATTGAAAACCGCTCATCAGGGGGGCGGTTTTAAATTAAGGGTGGTATTTTTGGAAATTCTTTGGTGAGGGTGGTATTTTTGTAAAATTTTTTTAAAACAGTGGTAATTTTGGATTTTTTCCCCAAAATGGTGGAGGATTGTTGAAAATTTGTTCTAATTGGACCGGCCAAAACAAGTTATTAGATCTTGAACCGGCCAGGAAAAACCAATAGTTATTACAAGAAACTTCCTTCAAAGGGTCATGATGCCATGCGAAATTATGCAATGCTTGGCATCATTCCAATTTCCCCAACAGAAATGTCCAAAAGTCACCACCCATTAATTCATTCGTTGGATGAGTTCATTGCATGGGATAAGGACATTTGGAAACTAACGGTTTCCATTTGACTGCAATGAAACGTCAAACGTTCTCTAGTGAGGGCGTTTGTTCCATGTGAGGCAATGGTTTATGGCAACGGTTCGATGGCTATAAATAATGGGTGTTCCGGGTGATCGAAGATGGAAAAAACACACACCAAAATCCATTCTTTCTTCCAAAAATCTCAAAGTATACTTTAGAGTTCTTGAGGCTAGAACCTAAATTGGTGATAGTTTTATACTCTGAAGAAATTTCCTGTAACTCAAGGCTTTGTAGAGGGTGGAAATATTCTTTTCGAAAAATGAACGTTGTTCACGACTCTATCACAATCCTGGTCACCCTGTCTCAGGCTACGTACGCATACCCTCGTCCCTAAAAGTCTCTAACTGTTCCTTTTCTCATTTCCAACTCCAATCCAATGTATGTAGAGGTGGATCTGTCGCGGCACCGTCGGACCCCTTCCTTCGGAGCACCTTGCCACCCGATCTCCAAGAAATTTCGTATGTTTTGTAATCCCCCTGTCGGGCTAAGGTCTTGGAAAAACCCTATTGAATTTGTATTTGCCAACGTAACAACGAAGGTTGAGAGAATAAGAAACTCGGTTGAGGTTGAAGACGATGGTGGGTTGCAACTGGAAGTAATTGGAGAGAGGTAGGAGGAAGAGTTACAAATGACGGTGAGGAGTGGGTAGGGATGATTTATTTAGGTTTTATTTTTTATTTTTTAATAATTTTATTAATAAGGTGAAAAAGTAAAATATTAATTTTTACTATTTTTTATTGCCACGTAACTCATTTAACGGTCAACTATTAGAGTTGACTGCCACGTTAGAAAAATTTATTGGTGACTAACGAAGAGTGACCAAACTAGGGGTGGGCATTCGGTCGGTTCGGTTTCGCCCCAACCGAAATTATGAATACCGGGTCCCCGAATTCTCCCAAACCTCAAACCGAATTATAATTCAGTTTGGTCGGTTTAAACCGAATTATAATTTGGTTTGGTTCGGTTTTTCACACAAAACCGAATTTGTGAAGCTACTTACATTTTCTCACTTTTAAATTATTTTTCACCCCTAATATAAACAATAAATATCAATTATATGCATCATCAATGATAAAATCAAACTTTTCAACACATAAGTCATTAAACATTTCAAATATTTAAGTCTAAAAACAACTACAAACATAAAAATCCACTATTTGGAGCTTGCAATTATAGTATTTTGGTTTTTCGGTCGGAAATTCAGAAATTCAGTTTGGTTGAAAGAACCCTGGTTTCCGGACTATCCATATTTTCCTTCCAAATTCCGAACCGAATAGCATTAATTCTGTTTTGGTTCGGTTTAATTCAGTTTTGGATCGGTTCGATTCGGGTTTACCGAACCATTTGCCCACCCCTAGACCAAACTTGAACTGATGAACTAATTTATATTAATTATAGTGGCAAACACGAACTTTTAAAGTAATTACAGTGACCAAACTTGTAATTTACCCAATTAGTTATTGGGTTAAAGACACATTTGGTCACTAAGATTATTAAATCGGGACATGTTTAGTCAATAGAAAAAATTAATATCAATTTTAGTCACTCGAATTACTGAAACAGGTCACATTTAGTCACTCTCCGTTAGTTTCCGTCCAACTCCGTTAATAAAGTCCGTTATGTGCTGACGTGGCTAACGGGAGCGCCTAGTCAGCGCTGTTTTGGGCCGGAAATGGTCAAACCCGACCTGCCACGTCACTAAACCAGCCATGTCATACACCCAACCCATTAACCCTACCCACCAACCCAACTCTAGCCCACTTAACAAAACAAAATTGGAAAAGCTCCAACTTGTTCTCCTCCTCTTCACCGTCGTCTTCCCCCAATGAAACAACATTAGCAGCAGTTGCAAATCACGATTAGAAGGCCCCTTCGAGTTCTCCCCCGATGGCATCATGAAATTCGAGGAGAAAGATGGCATCGACTACGCCGCCGTCACCGTCCAGCTCCCCGGAGGCGAGAGGGTCCCTTTCCTCTTCACGGTGAAGCAGCTCGTTGCTTCTAGAAAACCAGAGAGCTTCAGCGGCGAGTTTTTGGTTCCCATCTACAGAGGGTCGTTGTTCTTAGACCCAAAGGGCAAAGGCGGGTCCCAGGGTTATGACAACGCGGTGGCGCTGCCCCCGGCGGGAGAGGGGATGAGGAAGAGCTGGCGAAGGAGAATGTCAAGAACGCGGTGGAATCGAAGGGGAAGATTACTTTGAGCGTGACCAAGAGCAAGCCAGAGACAAGGGAGGTGATTGGGGTTTTTGAGAGCGTTCTCGATTTTGTCTCTGCAAATGTTTGGAACTGAGACTGCTCTATTCTCGATTTTAGGGGTCTGGAAAGTACCCAACCATATTCTCGATTTCTTGCGTGGCTCCCTGATTTCGGATACCCATTTCCCCCAACTCCGCATCTGAATCCCCTGTACAATGGGTGCTTGCTGTTGCAGTCTCATACCCGCTTCTTCTTCTTGCTGGTGGAAGCAGGGAATTCGGGGAGTCCCCATCATCGTGGTGATCTTGCAACTGCTACTAATGTAGTTTCATTGGGGAAGCGGCGGTGAAGAAGAGTAGAACGAGTTGGAGCTAGGGTTTTCCAATTTTGTTTTGTTAAAGTGGGCTAGGGTTGGGTTAGTGGATAGGGTTAGTGGGTTGGGTGTATGACATGGCGGGTTTAGTGACGTGGCGGGTCAGATTTGACCATTTCCGGCCCAAAACGACGCTGACTAGGCACTCCCATTAGCCACGTCAGCACATAACGGACTTTATTAACGGAGTTGGACGGAGACTAACAGAGAGTGACTAAATGTGACATGTTTCAGTAATTCAAGTGACTAAAATTGATATTAATTTTTTCTAGTGACTAAACATGTCCCGATTTAATAATCTTAGTTACCAAATGTGTCTTTAACCCATTAGTTATTAGATTAATTTAAAAGAAACTCACCAATTTTGACCAAATGTTTGGGGCTTTAAAAGTTATTTTTAAAATTTTGTATTCAAATTTTTCCCCCAACCTTTTCATGATCATCTAGTTCTTCTTTTCTTTAATATTTATTATTGTAGATGATAAATCTTATACCGATTAACTGGTTTATTGTCCGATCAGTTGATCGGAATGTCATTTAAATATGATATATTTACAATATGCATTCTCAAGTTGTCAAAGTATTTAAAATCTGTATTTCTACCCAATAGTTAAATTAATTATTAAAATCAAATTAGATAATAAAAATATTGTAGACATCCAAGCTCGAGCTCAGCTCGGATCCAACTCTACCCAACTCGAGTTAAGCACAAGCTCGGCCAGAGGAAAAGCTCGTCAACCCATACGAAAATAATGGATTGTTGAACAAAGCCCAATGTCGTTAAAGGATTAAGAACTTAAACCTGAATGAAGACCACGAAACGCAGCAACTAGATCATAGTAAAGCCATGGTTGCAGCCCACTAAAATGGGCCACTATCTAAGCCTTCTACGGATTTGATTTCCCAGTCGGATGACACCCACAATTATATAGGTGAATGAAATATGAGTTTTTCTTCTCTTGTGGATGTGGTAGAAATAGAAAATATGCCTTTGAGTTCATTTTACCTTGTGGAAGTTTAGAGGCAGACAGGTTGGATAGGTAATCTCTGTGGTACTGTTTTCTTTTTCTCGCCCTGCAATTCATTCTCTATATATGAATGGGCTATTGTAATCATCCATTCATGACGAAATTGGTTATGAAAAGGCTTCATATCGAAAGCACTTGAGTTTTTAATACACTGCAAGAGTTTGGTGAAGTTCTTAACCATTAGACTTCAAATGCATGCATCATTTATAACTGAAGAATATATAACTTGTGCTTTCATGATTCTATATGTTGATTAGACCTGGCAATCGAGTCCGGTTGGGTAATTTCGGGTTGGGGTCACCGGTTACGGGTCCGGTCATGTTTGGTTGTCTGATTTTAGGTCAAATATTGACCCAACCCATTCGGTTTCGGGTCGGGTTACAGGTCATTTCGGGCTATGCGCGCTCTCAGAAACAATATCAAACATGCTTCATATTTTCTTAAGGAACACAAATGTTCATATATTGCATGACAATAGTTTACCTAACACATGTCAATTAGCATATTCTCAAATCCTCCCATGCTAACGAAATGAAATGCAAATTGGGCAAATCATTAAAAAACAATCACAAGACTAATACTACTACAAGAAACACATGATATTTAATTATCCTAAAACTCCAAACATGTCATTCAAATCCTTGTGATTTTTTTTAAACATCTCACCAATTTATGAGTGATTTTATCATTTTGGGAGTGATATATAAAATAGAACGGGTCTAACGGGTCGACCCGCTAACCAACCCAACCCGACCCAAAAAATCACGAGTTATCGAGTTCGGGTCATTCAAATTTCGGGTTATACAAATTTCTACTTGTCGGGCGATTTTGGGTCGGGTTGTAATTTGCCAGGTCTAATGTTGATTGTTGGCCTTTGATTTGGAAGTCATTACTTACTAAACGTTGAGCTCATATCATATATTCAATGGGAATTGATACAGATAGCATTTATGGCATTGCTGAATTAAAACACCTTAATCGGAAGTGATACAGAGATTGAAGATGGAAGTTTACGGCATAAGCAAAGATATCTGAACCAAACGCCATGAACCAACAATAAAATCCGCAAAGTGAGCTAAGATTTCCATTAGTATGCTATTGATCAGTCCAATCCATTAACCCATTTCCCGAGTGTAAGCAAATAACTATAGAGTATTAAGGCTATAGTTGGTTTGTGAGTCACGTGATCGAGTTGGCTCACGAGTTAGGTTCCATGAGCCTTCGAGTCGAGTTAGCTCGCGATTAATGAGTTTATCAATATCTGACTCGGGCTCGATTATTAGTAATGTGAAGAATGTAAATTAAGTAAATTTTATATTTGATTATTGTGAAGATCATACATCCTAATCCTCCTAACTCTAAACCATGACTGTAACCCTATAAATTAACCTTAAACTCTGAACTCTAGTTACATGTCATGAAATTGTTATGGCAGAACTTAGTAAGTAAACTTTTATGTAGCTTCTTATGATTGCAGTTAGGATATGAGTTATGACTTTTGTACTATTATGAATCTTCTTATGTTAGGTTAATATTTTGACAATGTTACGTGGCCAGTTATATTATGTGCGAAAGAAAAATTGTTGTAATTATTAGGTACTGTTGTATGATTGGGTTAATTAAGTCAACCATGCTTTTCATATGTATGTGTGTTATCTATATATATTATTTATATACATCAACCAAATGTTGATAACCCTCCTAGGATTTCTACTTATCTATTGAGACTATTATGTGATCCAATTTAATGGTAATTGTCAACATAAAGTAAAGCTTTGTTCTTGGTGGGAAAGATGAAAAAATAATAGGGCAAGCCACATAAACTTTATATATATGTACATATATATATATATATATATAGTTCAGATTAGCGTACGCCTGTATTCACACTCATTAATTAATATTAATTGTAATTAATTTAATTGTTAATAAAAATTATAATAAAAATCGGATCTTTTTTGTTTTTTATATACTATGACAGCCTGACAAACACATAATTACAATAAAACTACCTAATTTCTTAACTCACCATCCGCAAATTGGATCACTCAACGTCCCTCTTCCCCACTTAGAACACCATGGAATAAAAAATGGAAAAGTAAGATCCGAAGATTTGTATTACAGTCTTGCAATATACAGGTTAGTGTTCTTACTTTCTCTAGTGCTTCAATCTTTTAGACGGCGAGACCGTTGCCGAGCGCAGCTCGGTAGCTCTTGACAATGTTTGAGTAGATCACGGCGACCAATTGATGCAACATGCATATGAATTTTTTTCCATTTCACCGTCGTGCACTATGTATTCTCCTTATCGGTCGATTTCGAGAGGAGTAATTGCTCTACAGAGCTCTATCTGGAATTCGGAATTCATATGCCTTTGCGTTGGATTCCCGTCGGTGATATGAGGGAGAATAGTGAAAGAGAGGGATTTTCTTTTAATGGTGCGAACGACAAATTGGTTGGAAATTTGGTATCGGCAAAGAATAACTTTGAGGTACCTTTAAAGAAGAAGAGGTAGCTTTGATGTCTCATAACTTCATATTAGAGTAAAGAAATGTCAGAGAGATGGAATATGGGATACATGTAACTACGGCAAGCATACTCCCATTTGGAATCCACCACAGATGGGTGTAATGAAAGTGAATACGGATGTGGAGTATCTAGGTATTGAAGGAACATGATTAGGGATAGTCATTCGCAACTTGGAGGAGGGATTCAAGTTTGCAGCAGCCAGACGAGAAGAGGAAAGTTGGGCACCCGAAGTAGCTGAAGCCAGAGTTGGGCTTTTCACAGAGAAAAAGATGGTGGAACTACAAATGGGTCCCTATGTGATAGAATCAGATTGCAAGAAGAAGCAAAAGTGTAAGACTATGAATTACACGGAAGTGGGAATGGTGTGTATGCTTTGTTGATCCACGAAGCTAAAGGGAGACTACATGCAGAGACCGGCTTCATACCCTCATAGAAGATAACGTACATGGTGGCCATAGGCTTGCCCATTGTCAGGTAGTGAAGAACAATTGTATTAGTTGGGTAGGTCAACCCGCCACTGTTATCACGAATGAACTAGTGGTTGATTTAAGGCATATGGCTAATTAATAATATTCCGAGGAAGTTTTTTCATTAAGGAAAACAATTAATATTGAGCTTTGATTAAATGTGGAATGGAACGGTTGCGTGAAAATGCACTGCTGTGTATGGTTGTATTTGATTTCATTCCATGGTGAGGGTTAATGGTTTAGGTTTTGCAGACTACTGCAGATAGAAGTGGCAAGTGAGATCCAAATCCATTTATCCAATCCAATCCATTTAAGTTGATCCAAATTCATTAGATCCATATCCATTTGATTCATGGACTGATGGATTGGATTCATGCATTCATGGATTGATCCACCAATCCATTAACACATATTAATTTTCTTTATTTATTTTATAATATATCCTAGTATGAACAAAAAAACTGCTCTTAGACTTTAGTACTGCCGACCTCTAGCTCCAAATATTCTCTCTGATGAGGCGACGACAAAGAGCAGAGTCGGCGACCTCTCCACTGCCTGCTCTTCATGTCCAAATTCACGTGCCACCGTCCCAATCAAATCTTCTTTCCCTCCAATGGGATTGAGCAACTCCAATCAGTTCCTCTCCCCTGAGTCTGAATCAGATCCAAAATCGCTAGTCCAATCTATAGCCAGCGTCGATGAAATCTCCTCCGCCTGGCTCTTCTACTTGAGAACCATCCTTCCTCCAGCGCCGATGATGACTCGATATTTGCACATGTTTTTCCCCTTTGTTCCTTGATCGTTTGAGCTTTAATTATCACATCTTTGGCCTATTTTACGCTAGGTTGTGTTCCTTTGTCATATTTCAGGTCCTAGCACATAAAGTGAAGCATAGGCG